TTAGTAAGTCAGTATGCCTAAGGGGAATAGATTGAGACTAAATAAAGATGTGAGGCATTATTAGCATTATTATTAACAAACATGTCTCTTCTTTTTAAAACCTATCAATATAATCAATGTGTTACCTGTAATGTTAGGTTCACAATAGCCCATTCAATTTGCAGTCATTATTACAGTTACAAGAGTAATTGGGACTGACACTGATAATATGACTGGATAATTTGTAAACCAGAAGGATCAAAACAACCACAGGCATTAATCTAATGAAAGGTTAAAACAACAATTAGATTGACTGTGTGTGTATTGGGTTGCCTCCACAAGATCAATAGCACAGTGCTGAGAGTGCCGGGCTGCCATTGTTGTAGATATCACTGCACTGCTGTAATATTGTTGAGCTAAAATGGGGGATTCTCTCTCTGTCTCCCTCTCCTGTGTGCGCTCAGCCTAACAATGCACTGCAGCGGTTTCCTCGCGCCTCTCCCCTCTCCATCTCCCTCTCAATCACCCTCTCTCACTGATCACTCCAAAAAAATGTATGCACATACACCAATGCTAAACAATCCTGAAGAAAAAAGGGTTTTCCTTGCTGAGTCTCCACCTCTTTCTCTGTCGTCTCTCTGTATTGATCCGCCCCTCAGTCATCTCTGCGCCTATATCTTGCTGTCTGTTCACTCTGAATCACATCCCTACATCTTCCTCTATTAGCTCTACTTGTGTTTTTCCTCCTTTTGTTCCCTTCGTCCTCTCTTCCATGGAGGAAAAGATCTTTTATCTATGTCTCTCTCTCTCTCATTTTGACTTTTTTTTTTTGTATTTATATCCCTAACACCACCACACCTAAACCTTCCACCTTCCCTCTCAGCCTTCCGTTTCATCAACACTTGTTCTTTTCTTTTCTTTTTACCTCCCTGTCTTTCTAACCCGTCTTCTGTTTGACCCCCATTCCTCCCTTTGCTAATTACAAATGTGTGTGTGCTGTTTCTATAAGTGTTTGTCCAGCAAATGACGCAGCAACAGTCTGGACAGTGAAGTATGTGAGTGTGGAGGTGCGTGTGTGTCCACTCACGTTTTGTTGACTTTACATACACTGAGCGAGGAAGAAAGAGAGCACAACAGATGGAAGGACAGAGAGACAAAGACATGGGCAGATGGGGGGAGTGATGGGAAGGAAAGCAAAAGAACAGTTGAGTCATGTGCGGGAGAGGTGTGGAGACGATGCTGTGTGAAATAAAAATTAGCACCCCAGAATGGACGGAGGAAACAGTCTAATCATTTAGCTTGAGAATTAAATAGATACAAAAGAGATGCAGAGGCGTGGATGTGATATACCTATGAAGGGTTTACACTGGGTGTGTGACTTGCTAGACATAACAAATCATACATAATCCAGCCAATCCCTGCACTGTGAGTTTATATATAGATGTGTGTTAGCTCTCTCTGTTGGGTTCCCACTGGGGCTGAGGAGATGAGGCTACAGGCTGCTGCGGGGGTCAGCTTCACTCAGGGCTGTTGGCTTACCCTGGTTGGAAAACAAAAAACGTACTGCTCCCCTATGATATGTATAATTGCAGACTGAGTATATTGTCTTCAACCCCTATCTCCCTTTCTGGCTCTTAATTCCCACTCTATCTGCCCATAACTCTGTGTAAATCACTGTCTGGAAGTCTCTACCATGCCTCAGTCCATCTCTCTCTCTTCTCACAGCATCATAGCTGTAATCCATGATTAATCTATATATCCTGCTCTACCTTGTCAGTCCTTCTCAGTATCATTCATATTTGGTTCTTGTTATCTTTACACCTTCTTCTGTATCAGAGGTAAGACGTATTTCACCCTGTGTGCAAGCTAGCTGAGATTACTGAGACACTCACACACTAGTCGATGGAAGTGGATCAACAGAAAATTCATCTGTGACTATTTTTATAATCAACTCCTGCTTCTGAATGGGAGACTATGCTGCTTTTCACTCTCTCTCACAATAAACTGAATATCTTTTGGTTTTGGACTGTTGGTCGAACAATACTGCTGTTTTATAAACCAAACGATTAATTCAAAACCTGATCTGCAGATTAATTGATGATGAAAATAATCGTTAGCTGCAGCTTGATCGCACACGTTCACATGCTTCATATATACAGTACACCTGTGACAACGCAGTGATCTATGGGAAGGGCCGTCAATGCGAGACAAGGTCAACCACAAAGGGAAGAAATTCTTGACACTAATCTCACTCATGATCCATGAGCATTTCACGAAGATGACTGCCTCTCAGCACCTCTGTCTGCTCCGGTCTAACTCCTACACACACGTTCACACTAATGCTAACAAAGCATGTGCAATGGCATAAAACCACCTTACAACACATGACACAGAGGATTTCTGTCGTGTTCCTGTCGGCACATCTCTTGTTTTCTTATCTCGGGTGATGATGCTGCACTGAATTTAAATGCAGCAGACCCTGTTGAATATTATCTCAGGGACCCACACACATCTCATTCCTGTAATCAGTGACTTTCATGTACCTGTCACTATCTGTCTATCAGTTCCTGGCTGTTATGTAGGTTGCCCCTCAAGGATAATGAATAAGAGCTTTAATACTGTCTCATTCAGGCACTCTAAAGCTGTTCTGCTCTGATGAACTGAAATGCCTGTTTCCAAAGTCATTCTAAAGGTTGTCAAACCATTTTTCTTTGAACAAAAACTACTTCAGACTGGTTAAACTCTTCTAAAAGATGCCATTTTTCCATTTCCCATTTTCTTTACTTCATCACTACCCACTGCTTTCCATATATCTTCTGTGCTCCGCTGAACCTAGCTGCTGCTAGTATGTGTTACTACATGTGTTAATTGGAAGCACATGTTACGCATCTGCCCTCAAGGAGCCACCAAGTTAGTTAGACAGAGGACATGTGTGTCTTGAGGAGGAAGGGAGGGTGTGCATCTGACAGCCAGGCTGCATTGGGTTTCACGTATGAAGGAGAGAAAAAATGTGAGTGGGGAAGGAGGAGTGAATGGGGGGAAGTGGACAGAGGTAGAACAAAAAGGAGAGAAAAAAATGAAGAGAGAAAGGAAATATGGGGGGAGAAAATTCTCTAAGGTTTGTTTTTGAGGAAGGATGGGGTGTATGAGGTGGGTGGAGATGAGGGAGAGATATAAATGTTGTTATGGAAAGAGGCAGCCTCTCATAAGGTGGTCTCTAATTGCCCTGCTTATGCGATTAGCTTTGTTTTAGCCATAGGGATGGAGTTTATGTGTATTATTAGTTGATACTTCGAGCTGCCAGTTTACCATCTCTAGCTGGAATTCTCCAGTACACACATTTTCTTTTGGGTTTTTATATTTTGTGTGTGGGTGGTATGGAGTCTCCGTGCTCATGATGTCTGTCTGTGTGTGTGTGTTCGTGTTTGTGCACTGACACAAAATCTTGCGTATGAGGAGTTCCCATCTCTCCTCTATTATTTACAATCCTTTTTCTTCTCTCCTGCAATTACCCCACATTCTCTCTCGCTCCAGCCCATCCTCATCTAGACCACCACCACCGCTGCACTGTGTATTCCCAGTGATGCTTCTGTGTCCAGCTTACTTTTCAAGTGTCCATTCTCCTTAACAGCCTCTTTTAGAGTGGTGTCAGTATCAATGAGTTTCCACTTTACACACCCTGCTGTCTTTTATCACATCTCCAGCTGATGTGGATTCACTTGCAGTCAGAGATTCTGGGGGAATCTTCTTCCCTCGAGGTATTTGAGTCTGGCTGCGCATACCACAGTAATGTGTACCAGCCTGACACCTGGTGGGCGAACTGGGGCACTGCAGTCTCACACTGGCTTTGAATGGAAGCCAGTTTGGCAGCAGAGAGATTTTTCCTCCCGGTGCTGAGTGAAGAGACCATGTTCTGTTACAAGTATGCACGTTTTCATCCTCTCCAAAGTACGCCTGGAATTTCTGCTTGATGGCTAAATGGTTTTTGCTTTGTTTTTGTTCGATCTCCCTTGCACCTCCACTGCGGTCTACACGTTTATACTATATGGGGTACATTACAGTTTCCTTCATCAGCTTTATCTTACAGCCCAAATCAACCTAAATTACCAGAGATGTGTTTTAGAGGTGGACCTTTGAACAGCTCTTTCTCGCACTATACCTGGATTTGTATTCACAGTTCACATTTCCTGGTATATCTGTAACACAAATGAATGAACACAGACCTTTGTTTATTAGGGAATTTTGCCAATATCGGTTATATCTAAAAGAATATCAAATAAAGTTTTATAGCTTTATGTGCATGGAAGTCTGACTCCCCTGTCTCTACAGCTAAATGGTTTTCTGAAGGATTATTTCAGTGTTAACATGTTACCGATATCAGTGGAGGAATTCATTAAAAAAATAACCACCTACAAAAAATGGGGGGCCTGGAACAGTGTGTGTTTGTTTTGTTTGGTGTATTTTGTTATCAAGGCACAATATTTTCAAACACAAAAATGTGTGCATGAAACAAATATCAACAGAGGAAAACTGGAAAGTAATACAAGTAATTTCTGTCTGCTCTGTCACGATTGTGTTCTATGCATTTAAAATACATTTCCTTGGGTGTGAGCAATTAAAAACATTTACCTTGCATTCAAATGGCTTCCCATTTTTCCTTTGTTGAGAAAATGAGTGCGTCCAGAGAGAGAAAAAGAGAGAGGAAGAGAGAGAGAGAGAGAGAGAGAGAGAGAGACTCTTTATGGATCGGAAATGATCCAAGATCAGGGTATTAACTCGGTATTATGAGCAGGTACTGACTCACATGAGCAGTGGGAGGTGGAGAGGGTGGAGCGGAAAGAAAGATGGGAAGGGAAATAAAAGTGCAGAGTATGGAGGGCAGAGTGAGAAATGGAGGGATTGGGGGAGAAAAAGTGGTGAA